ATTTCCATCAAATAAGAAACAAGCGTTATCATAACTGAACTTGCCCCAGGCCACTATAAAGCCGTATTCCATTTGTTCATCTTTCGCTAACCGACTCACTTCTGTATGTAGATCTCTCCTTACATAGCGAATAAAGTCCGAGTTGTCCAAGAATAATTTTCTGGTCTTTTTATTTTCCTTTTTCAACTTCACGGTGGGCTCATACAAGTCAAGATAGGTACAATTCTCTCATATGAGAACTGGTTTGTAATTTTTTTAAGAACGTAAATACATAACTAGCGCATATTTTAAACTCAATAACTTTAAACGGAAAACCCAGATACTGTCAACGATATTACCAAGAACGAATGGATAAACAAATCACTTTTTGTGATATCCAAATCGTCGGCGGTTTCTACAGATGAATGAAATATTGAGAATTTCGTTTTTGATCAAAATTCTATTTCAAGATCATTAATTAATTGCGCTCATCAACCGAAATAGTTCGTTGAAGGATTTTAATTATAATATATACAAATAATCAAAAGTGAAATAAATAAGAATCAAAATAATCACCATAAATTATTTAAAATGCAAGAAAGAATAAAGGAAAAAAAATAATAAAGAGACTTAAAAATCAATTTACTCTACGACGTTTCGAATGTGGATCCTTTTCGTCATTTATTCTGATTATTTTATCATTTTTGATTGATTGTGTATATTTGACGTTTTATTTATAATCATTGCAGGCCATAAAAATCAGTTTGATTAACAAATTGGCGTTCTTATTTTTCCATAAATATTATGTAAATGAGTTCTTCGTTCATAATGTTCTACAAAACATGTTTTCACCAAAATTGTTCGCTCTTGGATTTATAGTTGGAAAAACAACGTAATATCGAAAACAAAAAAACTTAACAGAATAATATGTCATTCGGAGAAATATTGAGTAATGTCGAGTATAAATATTATTTCATAACAGAATTAGCTTTAAATGAAATTATGTAAGCAAAACATATAACAATGTTCCCTTCAGCGACTTGAAGATCGTGCATCAACAATTGATAAACCAGATAAAATGTGATAAAAATTATCAACATGAAAAACAATATTATAAACCTGTCTTATCTCGTATCTCGTCTCTAAAAATAATAAAATGAGAATGCTGTGAATGAGAAGTGTGTTGCACTACGGTTCATTTATGAACTGCTGAAGTAAATGTTGACTTGAGATTTGCATGTCACGGCATATCTTTAAGAAAATACGGTACTAGGTCTTCTAAATGCAGAAATGTTCTATCTTATCTACTGAACATAAATACCGTTACCTATCAAAACAATGGGTTTAATTCAGAAACGTGAGGAATAGCCTTTCCTTGATTTTTTTGAAACAGACAGATACAGAAGTAGAAAAAGGTTGGGTCACTTTTTTTACAAGTGGTAAGTTCCAATATCAAATTCCAACTGAAAAATTTGATGGCAGCCGTGCCTACGATTTTCAAAAAAATGATCTTATGTGCAGTTTTCTCATATGTCATTGTATATCATTTCATATCAATTTCAGGAGGATAAAATACTCTATTTCACTCAGTATGAAATGATTTTTTTTTAATGAGTGAAACCTTTGATTGATCTTCCAACTGTGTTGCATCTTCAATTTTACTTGGAAAACATAGTCGTTTAGGATGAGGTTATTCAAAATGTACATGAGGTGATTCTTAAAACCATCGCGATCTGTCAACCAATCAATTTGCTAAAAGCGATTTCCATTATCGCTTGTGGAAAGTGACGTATTTTGTCTGAAATACTACTAATAACATATAATATTTGGTGTGCAAATTGAAACACAAGTTGTGAAAGCAGAACTAGTTGTTCCAGGTTGTCGTTTCTGAAAGTTTGTACATCAAAGAAATGTCTTGAACACTAGCCTAAAGAATGTTTATTTGATATTTATGCCATGGAAATCAGTTTTTCGTGATTTCCCAAAGAAATATGTTATATTGCATATACCAATACAAATCCTATGCAACGCAACTCACACAAAGCCTAGGTCAGTAATAATGATATTATCATGACATGAACAATGTATCGGAAATAAAAGATTTATATTCGAAGGTCATACTTTTTCTGCGCAGAAAGAATCCAACATATTTCAAAGAATCATAATTGTGGTATAAAAATAGCGGAGAAAAATGTAAGTATTCAAACGGGCAAAAATAACACCTCGAAAGTTTTTAAGAGGGTTTCGCTTATATTTCATTTTCAAACTATGAAATCCTGTATCAACAAAACAACAAATTTCTAGAAAATCAACACTAAAAAAACATTGACGATTCCCCTATTAGTATGGCAATCGTAGTCCCAAACAACCTGTATACGTCGCGTTATATTCGTAAGTAAGAGACTAAAAGTCTAGCTGTGGCAGCTGAGTAAAATGTTAGGAAAGGTCATACTTAAATAAAACGGCTATGCACATAACACATGCGGCATTGTTATAGGATAATTATATACAAACCAATTACTTTAAAAAGCCACATGATAGCTTTATTTATAAGTTCGTACAACATGCATTTTGTTCGTTCAATTTATTCTGCCTTTACATTTGCAAAGAATTCAATTGTCGGCAAATTGTTATTACAGCCCTCCCTTTCCCCTGCGTTGTGACTTTCTTGGGCGTTAATCATATACCATAGCTGAATGTCTTCGGGATTGGTCTCACGAAATGCACATGATAATCATACAACTGATACAGTCATTGAAGAGAAAAATACGGCGTTGGAAAATCGATGATTTTTTGCCGGTGAATCATCATGGCGCATCATTGGCCAAAATATGGGAAAGTAGATTGAAATTTTCAATTTTTTTCTGCAAATTTTCGAAATGCATATAATTTGTTATTTTGGTCTAGCTTCAACCAAGCTCAATAATCATTATGTATATATTAGATAAAAAAAAAAATGTTTGAAATGTGTTTTCTCCGTTAACCAGCTATCGCACTCCTACGAACGACAAGTCGAAACTTGTGTGAGGTAAGGACTAACGAGGTCTTACCTTTTAACGTGTGATTCCTAAAACGCGATGGACGATAGCAAGTGAAAATCGAGCGTTCAGCCTTGGGCTTGAACCATCGACTCACACATCGGCCGATTGACTGAGTTATCAAAGTAGCCACGTCGAACCGCCCGGCTACCGAAAAATATCCCGAAGATATAATTGAGCCGTTTGTCTTCCAACTATTCTGTTGATATTAAGTTGTTTCAAACGTTTTTCAGAGAATTTTTTCCAAATTTAAATTTTTTGCCTTTTTCAGCTTATTACTAAAGGATATCCTTAAGAGATTTTCGGCCAATTTTTCCTACGAATTCATACTGAACCAAAGCGCAGCTGAAACAGTCCGAAAAATCCACCAGGCATTTGGCAATGATAGTAATAGGGGAGCCCAAGTGGGGATTTCGGTATTTACTGAAGCGCGACAGATTAATATACAGGGGGATACCTTGTACTCGGTTAAGTACCTCCACCGAATATGAGCCCCATATATAAGGCCGCCCGTGAAGGATGAAGGATCAGATTAGTAAAAAAAAATTGATCATCAGAAATTCTTGAGCGCGTCAGATTAAGGTAGGGTGAGTTAAATACATGCTAAAAAGTGTATATTCCAGTAATCTGACAATTTGAGAGTGACGTAAAGAAAGGGGAGGGCGGCAAAGTTGTAAAAAAACAACGCCGTTTCGACATTCTCGAGCGTAGCTAATTTTTTTTTTACATTATAATAATGGCCGAAATCGTCAGATTATTGAATGAGAGCTTTTTTTGTTGCACTCAACACCCCCTTAGAAAATCTGACGCGCTCGATTGAATTTTTTTCTCTTCACTTTTAACCCTTACGTACAACTACCCGCATCATGCAAACGATCAGATAAACATACGAACACTATTAAAAATATGTAAGACATTGATGCTATCAGTATATGACGTGCTCGAGTATGTCCATGCAACAGTATTTTTCTACATATTCAAAAATCTATAGCTGCTTCCCCCACCGATGAAAAGGTATATATTATATAACATTTTTTTCTTCTTATCATCTAAGCTTTGCAACCTAATTTGTCTCTATGACGCTCGAGTAAATCCCCATTTTGCATCGTGGGCTCCCCTACTATAGTGTTAATGAACGGACTGTTGGTTCGGGGATTCATCCTAGAAGATAAGACTCAAAGTAGTCTACCTACAGTATTCCAGGACGAAGATTTAGGGAACTTAATGGAGACTGACCCAATTGACTCAACCAAAATAATCCTTTTTTGGATCGAATCGTCACGTGTGACGAAAAGTGGATCCTCTACGACAACGCCCGACGAGCGTCGAAGTTCTGTTTCACCCACCACACTCTCCAGACCTTCTCGCCAACCGACTACCCTCTTTTCAAGCAGTTCGCTAACTTTCCTACCGGTAGAACCTTCGCCAATCAGGAGCAGGCAAAAACGGCCTTCGTCGACTTCATCGAATACCGAGCACAACATTTTATGTTTATAGAATTAATTGACTTGTGTTACGTTTAGAAAAGTCCACTGATTCAAATGGCGCTTATTTCCATTGAATTGATAGAGTATTCAGTTCAAAATAGACTTATATAAACAGACAAAACTTGTGAAGCAACGTAATAAAAAAAAGAATAGCTAAAGATTTTAAGACGTCAGGGTGATATATTCACCTATTCAAAAAGTAATTATTTAAAAAGATAATTAATATATTATATTTTACACATGTCTTGAGAAATGACAAGGCATATAAAGTTAATTTATGGTATTAATGAAGTTCTAATTGTAAATAAAACAAATTGTTCATTATCAGCTGAGGCATTTTAATGTCAATGAATTACTTGATTAATCATCGCCAAAAATAAGAGATCTTGAAAAACATGTAGTTTAATAAGGAAAAATAACGAATCTGTTAAGGATAGTAACAACTGAAATGTTGTATTTCATATAATCATCGTCTAACAGTTATTATTTGTTTCAGAATGTGTTTTTGGAAAACAAATTAGGGAGCTGGGCTCACAGTGGATACCGGATTTGGGCGTCCCTATTGGTGTACTTTATTGTATGAAATGCGAATGTCTCCCGGTAAGTTGAAAATGTCACTACCACTACCACACTACCACTAAGTCGAAAAATAATTTCCAATTGATAGTCAAATAGATAATTGTGAATGAAATTTTTTATCGGGGTCAGACAATTCTTCTAATTTGATGTTCCATTTTATAAATGAAGGTACGACTCCATCTAACAACATCTTCAAATTCGATATATCAAAAGCTGTTGGTATATTTGAGGTATATTTTTCACTGATTCAGCTATTAAAAAAAGAACTATTTCTTGTATTGAAGCGTTTTGTTCAATTGAAATAATGATTCACAGATCTGTTCCAAAAGATTTGTTATCTAGCATTACGCTTTTGACTACTCAACGAGGTAATCCGATGCACGTCTGGGTGGATTTATTTTGTAATCCACATTTTGGGAAACGTCTGAAAGCGGCAAATGACGAAATTTTCATATTGTTTGTTGATTGGATAGTGATGCATCATGTTTCCAGCATTATTTACGTGTTCCCTGTCATTCCGGAGAGTTGTTATCCCAAAATCACTTTCTTCTATTGAAATTTCAAGTGCCGTGAATCTTTCATTATCACAATGAGGATTTTGGTATAGCCTTTAACAGGATTTGCGGTTCATTATCATGAAAAAAAACTCCTACTTTCCTTTTCTGCGAAGTTTTAATAAAAGAAATTCAAACTAATGATTACTTTGCCCCAAAATTCACTGCATACGTAGTATCTTCAGATGAATCCTGCACATAACTTTAATTTTAAATATATGCCTTAATTTCAATATTTTGACAAGATTGTCAACGATTGATGATTATGAAGAAAAATTGAGTTATCATTGGGCCCTTCCATTATAAGAACTTGATCAGCAATAAAGAAACGAAGAATCATTACAAAGCAAAAGATGCAATTCACAGTATTATTTCACAAATTGACAACAAATCAAAAGGTACATACCCTTAGGGTTGTTTTTCAGTTTCTAATTGAATGTCATCACAACCGTCACGTCGCAAGTACATCTCTGAAGCCATTATTATTATTGACGATGATGAAGATGAATACTGACGTCATTTTCACAATCTGACAAACACATATTTGTCAATTCATCATACTCATGATCAATTCGATGAGTTTATCTTTCAACATTCGTTTGATTTTGTGGTGCAATAAGTATGACTGGCAAAAAACTTGTGAATCAGAGTTCTTCTCAGCAATTTCCACGTTTTTCTCAACAAATTGTCATCCAAGATGAAAACATCCGGACCAATCGACTGCTCCGTGCCAAAATACAGAAAGTGAAAATTGATAATTTGTCGAATAAGCAGGAAGAAAGGCTACTATGAGTTGATTAGGCTATATCTTCGGAACTAGTGCTACGCAATACCTCCGGAACAAGTGAATGATGAAAAGACCGACTCTTATGATGGATCCAAACTCCAGTAATTCTACTGTTTAGCGTAGATTTCTCCTGGTCATCGCCAAATATTTTTTCGGCGACAGCTTCCCAGGGTCGCCCTGGGTGATACTGGCAAGATTGCTTCCTTTGATTCCATCCCATCTCTTTAGGGATTGAGCATGGGTGTAACATTTGGTTAGTTCCGCAATTGTCAAAGTTATCAGACCGTAGGTGCCACTGGGTCCTAAAAGTCTTAGTCCAGCCGCTTCCTTGGCTAAAGAGTCGGTATTGCGATTACCTTCACTCCTGTCGTGCCCTTTAACCCACCTCAGGATAACGTTATTATCTACCGAGGCTTTGGCTAAATATTGGTGGCACTCTAATACTAGCCCTGAGATAACACGTTGTCTGTTCAAGGCTAATAGGACTTGTCTGCCATCAGTGCAGAAAATATAAATGATTAACAACAAACCTAGCTCAACAGTTATCACAGTACATGCTCAGCTCCACTACTGGTTGAATGACAAATCTCATTTTTCCAACAATGATTGAGCTAGAATCAGTTGTCTCACTGCATATCAAGCTTAAACAGACACAGACCCTGTTGACAAAATCCACAAATATTCTACAGATTCAATTTTAAGAAGAGACTCTCTGAGATATTTTGTGAATGCCTTGAAACTACATGTCAAGTGAGCACAACAGAAGAAAAGGACTCAGTCAAACCCATTAGATGAAATTAGTAGGTGGCTCTAATATTCAAGCATAGTTTATGGGTACCAAAAAACAAGTTTATATACTTTTTCAACGTCATTCAAGTATGGGAACCACTCTGTACATTATATTGATTTGTTGACAAACAACAATTTGACCACAACCGACGACACAAAACCGGTAATCAACCTTCCCATGTTCGTAGGTGCATTTCGCAGACCAAACGGTAGCCCATCACACTATATCCTAATAAATATGCTCCCATACACCTTCACACGAATAAAAAAATTGCGAAATAGGTTAAGTAGTCCGCCCATACTGAAAAGTGTCGGTAGATCACAGCAGCTTATGAAACAGTTGTCGGTTGTCGGTCAAAGACCCGGCTGACCTCTACCTTTACGCCCCCGACCATATAGATTCATTAATGGAGAGAGAAATCTCTTCCTCACCATGACACACAATGACATTAAAATCGAACCGCTATTCTTAATGGACTCAAGTCAATTGGATCAATGACAGTTTTTTTATTTTATTCCGCAGAATTTATTCGTCGCGTAGGAGTTTATAAGTATAAGCATGTCATCGACGAATTGCGTGGTAAATCTTCCAGTCTTTACAAAGTAATCTTCAGCTCAAATTGAAAATTCATGATTGTGATGAGAGCAATAGTAAAAATGAGATAATTTCGAAAAACTGTTTCTTTTTTTTTCTTTCTATACAAATTCGTGAACAAAACGGGTGTGCAGCTGTTGAAGTATAATAGAATAAAGAATAGGTAAAAGAACAAACATTTTGAATAGAAACACAAATTCAAACAATACGAGTAGAAGAAAATGTTCGGGCCACGAAAACCACTTTTCAAAAAAGACTTCATTTAAATACAACTATTGTAATAGTAAAGAAGAAAGTAATACAAATCATGAAATTATGAAACAACAACAAAAATTAATTGGTGCTCCAGGGCGACTTCATTGATTCTGCAGGAAAATCCGGAAAAACCTGCAGCACCACATCATCTGGAGATCTTGATCTGTCAATGTCCTCTCTTTCATAAAACAAAATGAAGGGTGTGTTCAGAGGCTCCAATAAATTCAAGTCATCGCCAGAACGGTTAGTAATACGACTATCGTCGCGTCGCATCGCAATAATGACCAGATTCAACGCCAGAACCACAGTGAACAATGACTGCATAAAGTTTATAATAGTGGTCTGCTAGATTGAAGTGTTCATCTATTTCGAACTTTTGTAAGAGTTTGGTGCATCCGTCGGAGGTTGAGTCATGTTTAAAGATAATCAGTGTTATTATTAGATTGACTGGTGCCTCAGCTATACTTGTCTTATAATAGTCAGTTAGTTTGGCGCATATTTGGCAATACAATTGATCATCACCCGTTAAAAGTTCCATTTTCAGATGGAAGCTTTGCACGGACTGTTTATCAGTCATAATGAGTGATTTTTTTGCTGGTATCTTTTTGACAACACTGTTTTTGACAGATCACGCGTGAGTCGTGTCTTATGTCATTGTCAAACTTATTCAGTTTGGTCTATAATTCAACCATGAATCGACTTAAGAATCAAAATTCATGATCGGTGAAGAAAGTGCATCGTGCACTTCTTCCAATTTATGGGCAGTTTCGTCGGCCTACTGAGGGAGCTATTCGGAAGCTTGTGACTAAATTTCGAACCCGGTTTACATTATTGTACATTAAACCACCAACACGCATACGTAGAGTGATGACCGAAGAAATTATTGCAGCTGTATCCGCCAGTGTTCATGATGACCGTGAAATGTCGATTCGCCGCCGTTCACAGCAATTGGGCCTCTGTTACCCCACTACGTGGAAAATTTTACGAAAGGATTTAGGTGTAAAACCTTATAAGATACAGCTGGTGCAAGAATTGAAAGCAGACGACCTCCCACAACGTCTAACATTTGGTGAATGGGCGCTGGCAAAGTTGGAGGAAGATCCACATTTTTATCGAAAAATTGTGTTCAGCGACGAGGCTCATTTCTGATTGAATGGATACGATAACAAGCAAAATTGCCGCACTCGGAGTGAATACCAGCCACAAGTATTGCAAGAGCTATCGATGCATCCCGAAAAAGTCACTGTTTGGTTTGGATTATGGGTCGGTGCGTATGGGCCATCTAAAGCGGAGCCGCGGACAACATTTGCATGAAATCATCTTCAAACATTAAATTATATTGATCGTTCTATCGATTCCAATTAAGATTTCATCAACTTTTTCAAATATTTTGAGTTGTTTTGAAAATAAAATCCTATACCTCTTAAAAAATCACCAGTTATTAGAAAGCAAGCGCTAGTTGAAGTTCTAGAAAATCACCCACGTTTTTGCTACCTCTTGAACATTTACTACAAAGTAAACAAGTGAGAATTTTTACAGTAAAAGATATACAAACACAAGATGGGATAGACTATTCGGAATCATTCAATCCAGAGCGGTCAGGATTTACAGACTTCATTTGAGATGTTATTCTCATGAAGGTACTGACAGAACTACTGCTATCGTAAATTCTCATGAGTCGCTGGACAAGCAAATAGGAAGGTTTCATATACCTACTAACATATATGTCCAATATCAAGATGGACAAATAAAATCGATAAACTAATAGCAACATTTTGATGCACTTGAGCAAAACAGTATTTTCCTGAGGAGCCTTCAACCGTATTGCTATAATTATTTGTACGTGTGTTCGACGTGTAGAGGAAAGATAATTTTTAAGGTCAATTGTCAAAACACCTTATCAACTGATGCGTCAGCTAATTAGTATTCGCATGATAAGAAGAACTCTTGATCCATTATTATTAAATAATTAGAGGATGCATATATATTCAATACCTTTGAAATATTTCAATTTATTTCGAATTCGGTAAAACTTTAAAATCTAAAAGGATGATTATACAACTAGCTATGCGAATAACCATCGCAGCTAACCTGACATCGCAGGTTTCATCTTCCTTTTCATTCTATTAGAGTTGAGCATCTTGAAAAAATAAACTTGCATCAGCCATAACCTGCTTCTCAGTGCACTATCAATAGCTTTAATACCTTTTATTTTTCTATATTGACTCGCCGGGAAGGTCGTTTTGTGTGAAAATATGCGACTGAATAATTCATCAGATTTTAAAATTCTACGCTAGACTCAACTGCAAACTGGTATGCACACAGTGTGTCTGTACGGAGAGTTATTCTACCTTTAAAATAATTGTCTGTACTGATAAAAATTAAAACGTCGACGAAAAAAACGTGCAATTTGCGACGTACTAATCATTGAAACTGGTTAATTTATCCAAAAAAGTCGGACAGACTGTCGGCGAGATAAAAGATTATAATTGGTGCATAATAGTAATGGAAACGTGATATAAATGAAGCAAACGTGGATAGAAACCGAAAGAGAGAAAAATAAAAGAATCGGCCTGCTTTTTCTTTAAAGCAATTGGAATGTTCAGCGGTTGAGAACTGCTCTAAAACACCTTCAGGTACACAATTAACGACAAGAAGTAAAGAACATCGGCAATCGTGGCATCAAAGAAACAATTCTAAAATATGCAGTATTACAACAAGTCAACACAAGGTATAGAAACTGAAATACTGCCAAAAGAAATATTCCGGACATAAAAAAAATACCAAGTAAGTCTACCCTTACACAGATGACCTAACACTCCCCTAAAAAATTGTAAATAATAAATCATTAATGAAAAATCTACCTACTTATAATAAGGTACGTACCCATAACCTATATAAATAATCATATTATCTATTTGTATGCGTTGGAACATCAATAAGATTCTTTCTCCTCAAATTGAGATGGACATCTGTCCTGTATGTGACTCTCCCGCACAGATATTCAGGTGTATTCTATTCTATTCTATTATATTCTATTCTATTAGTTTTGAGGATTTTATAAAAAGAACAACGCGAATGTAGTAAACAACGATTAGACATACTTAACCAGCCCATTTCCTTAAGCTTTTGTGAAATCCTATCTCTTCTTTTGAGACTGAGAATTAGACTTAGACATGAATTTTGTACCTTTTCGATACGAAAGGCATCAGATTTCCGAAGAAAAATACCATAAACTATGTCACGAATTGAAATGTGATAAAACCATCGACTTGGTTAACATTTTTTTGTTTTTAAATTCATTTCATATCGATGAGGATATAACTGTTTTGACAGTCAATATCTGAAATCCAAACAAATAAACTTCAAACGTTCAAGCCAGTCTCGATATACCTACACAGTAGGTTGAATGGACTGACGCCTATCAGAAAACAACTACTCCCCTGGCTAATAACACGAAGGGCGTTGGATTATATCCGACAGGCGTCAGTGCAGGAATCTTCACAGAAAATTTCCTGCATATGCAATTGGCAATACAACTGAAAGAGTTGACCTTCAATTCTGGAACGCGCACACTTGCAGAACGGTTTCGGGCTCATTAGCCTCTCGTCAGTGCAAGATAGTGACCATCATCGACCTAAAGTCAATGAATTGAAAATCGGAATTCTTTCAGAGTATTTCATTCCTCTTCCGAAGTGCCAATCTTCACATATCCCACTAACTAATAACAATATCTGAAAGACACGAGGGTGAAATCGCACTTGATTTCATTCTAATTCAAAATTCAAATTTTAGAGTGGTGGCAATTGTATTCTCTAAATATAGATCACGTTATCGCATCATGATACTGATATATTGACTGAAAGATATCATAATAATCAAGGTGAACGTTAGTTCAATTGCAATTGTGTGAAAATAATTTCCTTCGGTAGTTTTCTGATACAGAGTGAAAATTTATAAAACAGTTGCAGTAAACTAGTCTTAATCTCTCAAAAACGACTTTTCAACTAGCACCACAACTACTTCACAGAACTACAATGAGCCCCAATATATTTTTTGGTATATGTTATCAAGACTTTTTTCTCGGGGAGCGTATTGACAATGGCACCTTATTAATTCACTTTTTCTTCTTTAGATGTCATCATCTGAGACTACTATACCATGTGATTTAAAACATTGATTCTACGCTCAAACCGACAAAGCTAGAACAGAAAAGTTTGCCTATATTCACCACAAAATGCGCCAATCAATGTCCATTGACGGCATTGACTCTTTAATGACGGCAAAACAAGTTTTCAAACTCGACCCATACAACTTACTGGTCTATCCACCTTACAGCCCTGACCTGCAACCCATTCATTTTTCTCTTCTCCAAGTCAGAGCACTCACAAATTATATACCCCTGATATCTCCTTTGTAGACCTATTCGTCCATCTCAAAACATATCCGTTACATAATCCATAGCTTGTAGATTCAGCGAAACGTAAATTACGACACCGCAGCATCCGCGTCCGCTATCTCCAGCAACCCTCGTCATCCAAATACTAAATATTAACCACCTTTTTTATTATTATGCGACTGCGGTGCTTAATAATTCAACAAAGCCAACCGCATTCGACCCCACATGCCAAAGAGAACGAGAAAATTACGTCCTGCATTTTTCATTTCAGATCCAGAAGAAAAGGAGGATCGTCGCGAAGGTACAGTGTCGGAATATTAAGAGCGAATGTCCAGAACCGTCTTGTGATGAGCCGGTGTTGCTGCCAGGAAGATGTTGCAAAAGTTGTCCAGGAGATGATCACAGTAAGTACACAAAGAAATCCGACACAATTACATATGATGCGGTGTTTACTATACAATGCATTTCTTTAAAGACTCCCCCCTTTTATTATTCGAACGGATCAACTCAAAAAATTGAAATGAATACTTTATTTTGAAGTGAAATTGACAGATGAAATTTTCAAGATGGCGACTGGGCGCCATTTGGGAAAAAAATTAAATGGAGAGGGAGGTCTTGTGACACATCATTTTGAATCTCCTGACGAATATTTCACAACCCTAGAATATCATCACCTACTACAAAATGGCGGAACATTTACTAATTTCCTGAAGACAAACACGTTAATATCGATATTTCTAGAAATATTCCTTTTTTTATCTGCCATATGGCAATTCCAACAATCCGATAAGGTTTGCGGAGTCATTTTTTGTTTATAAAAACGACAAAAAATGTCAGTACGACAATGAACATCATTGTTCAGTTAGAATATTCTCATTTAGTTTTCGGTTTTACTAGTATAAAGGTGCCACGTCAACAATCTGTAAAATGGTCAATTCTCGTCTATTGGATGAAAAAATTGAAGCGATTTTTATTTACAGTGCGATGCCTTACTTCCACGAGACCTGAAGGATTTTCAATGAACGTTTTCCGAAACGTCCCATCTGTAGAAAATAGTTGAGGGAACTTGTACCCAAATTCACAACTACCGAAAGTGTACATAACAAGAAGCGCTCAGGTCATCCGTCCATTCCGGACGGATGACCTGGGCGCAAGTGCAAATAATTGGTGAGATGGTAGTAAATCCTGAACAGTCTACTTATTCTTGAAACCATTTCAAGCATCTTCTGAATTGACCTCAAGCTTATTACCTCAAATTAGTTGAATGTCAATGTATTCAGGCAATTATTGAAAGTTCCGCAATTTTGTAGTAGTTGAAGATATTGACTTTATATTCTAAGGTTGTGAAGCATTTGTCAGGAGCTTCAAAAAACGTGTCACAAGACCCCCCTTTCCATTTTTTCCCAGATGGCGCCCAGTTTCATCTGTCCATTTCACTTCAAAATAAAGTATTCATGCATTAATTTCATTATCCCAAATTTCAATTTTTGAGTTGACCCGTTCAAAAAATAAAAGCGGGAATATTAAAGAAATGCACTGTATAGAAAAATCAATAGTATGATGACCGCTTTCAACAATTTTGTCTCAACTATCAACATCAACTGACCTTCTGAATAAAGGGATCCTTTCAAATGAGCCAGAGGAAGGTTGATGCCCATCATCTAAAAGGAATCGCATTTTACGGTTTTCATTTGAACAGGTTTGTATGCTTGGGATCGCACCACAATAAGTGAGCCTTTCTTGAATTTTTGAAATTATTGATTCTATTACATAAAATTTACGTTAAAAAATTGATTGTGGCTGTGAAAGCACAGAAATAAAAGTTATCTTTTCGCCTTCAATTCCTCAATTTTTTATTCAGTTTACCGTATCATTTTTCGAGATAGCACAATGACAGCAATTCACAAGGCCATCTGTATCAAGTAATCCATGGCGCCTGCCGACCTACATACTGAAAAAGTGCTATGTTTACTACGATTCTCTACAATGTTAAGCATGTAGTAGTAAACCAATACGTTATTCGCCATTTTATTTTTAAAACCGTCGCACCGTGCTATATCAACTCGAGTGCCCACTAAAAATGATAAATGCATCTAAAGATTAGATAGATACGTTCCAGTGGCGAAGAATAGTTTTTCAACAAGGGTTACACCAATCATCATTCTTTTTTTTATAACTCACTTCTTCAAGAATCACACCATGAAATATTAACACATCATATAATATAACATTTATAACATATTTTCGATAAGAAAATTTTTCATTTGATACTTCAATCAGTTGATAGTAACTGATTTATCTTTCAGTCCATTTGGTAGATCATTACAGAAATAGTTATTTGTGATGCACTGTTTGGAACCTTTGGTGTAGTAATGAATATTACTGGAGTTTTTTCCCAACACCAAATCGTTATTTTCAACACCTCGACACGTGTTTCGATCACCAAGTTAACATCTTCAAGAGGAAGATGACTTGGTGATCGAAACACGTGTCGAGGTGTTAAAATATCGGTTTGGTGTTGGGAAAAAACTCCAGTAATATATATTAATTTTTTTTCTGTGACGCAGAAGCAGAAGAATAGTGGAATTGCGTAACAAATACTTAGAATAAATAACTGTATACAATAGACAAGAACAACGGCAATTTTTTTATTTGGACGAAACATGGTATAACACTCACGACATAGTTACGAAAGGGTGGACTGATGGTTTGATAATGTGTACGCCTGATATGCCTACAAACAACAATAATTGTGCATTGCTGCACAATTATGCAGCATGGGTTCATGGGTGCATGGGTTCTTTGAAATTATGTGAAAAAAAAACTTGAGTACTGCAATGTTGACTATCATAAGAACATGAAAGCTAATAATTTCGAGGAATGGTTTGACACATTGATGCCAAATTTGGATTCGAATACTATACCAAAAACCAACTACTTGAAGTTTTACAGATAAAAACATTTGAAAAATTTGAAAAAGTGTATGCCCTTGAAAGTATTGGTGAAAAGTATGGACACACCATACATATATACAGTGTGGTCCACTAAGTCTGCAACAAATGGGAAACTTTTTTATTATCGATTTCTCAGAAAATTTTATTCCTGACAAAAGTTGGTGCATATTCCAAAACTATACCAAGTGTACCTGAAATGGCTTTATGACAAACACAAACACCATAGGATAGGCAAAAAATATAAAGTTCGTGGATTTTATGTCAAAAATGCG